AGCTTTTGTTTTTTCTTGGGTGATACCCATTGTTCACATTTAGTAAATGTTAAATGATTAAATATTAATCTTAAAAAATCTAGACTTAAGGGGCGCCTGGGTGTCGCAGTTGGATATGTGACCGACTTTTGACTTCATCTCAGGTCAGATCTCAGGGTCCTGAGATTGAGCCCTGCATCCTCCTTGGGCTCCACACTCAGGAGGGGTCTACATGAGATTCTTTCCCTCTGCCTTTCCCCGCCCCTCTAAAATTAAACAAATAAATCTTTTTAAAAAATCTAAACTTTGGCTATTTATTAAAGAAGGGGCCATCTTTGAAGAAAATGCTCTAACACATTTAAGATGAGTGGTTCTGAAGCGTTAGTATGCATTATAAGCACCTGGAGAGGTTGTAAAGCCCACATTGCTAAGCCCCCCAGCTCCATTGTTTCTGATTTAGTAGTCTGGGATGGACGGTGAGAATTTGCATTTATAGCAAGATCCCAGCTGCTGCTGCTGATACTGGTCTGGGGACCACACTTTGAGAACTAATTCTTTATTTATATCAATGTTAAATGAAGCTGAGATTTGATAATAAGAGAATTAAGATACATTAAGGATTGGTATATTATACAAAAGTGATATTCAAAATATTTAATAAGCTGCTGACCAATTTATTTTTTTTAAAGATTTTATTTATTTATTTGAGAAAGAGAATGAGAGGGAGAGAGAGCATGAGGGGGGGAGGGTCAGAGGGAGAAGCAGGCTCCCTGATGTGGGACTCGATCCCAGGACTCCAGGATCATGACCTGAGCCAAAGGCAGTCGCTTAACCAACTGAGCCACCCAGGCGCCCCAGCTGCTGATCAATTTAAAATGCACACTGGCCCTAACCTATAGGGCTGAGTCTGTAAACACTGCCTCAGTATTACATTTGAATGAATATATACAACATAAAAACAACTGTACATAGATAAATAAAAATGTTGAACTTCTCCCTGAAGTAATTTTTAGTAATTCCTAAAATGTAAATCTAAAGTAAGTGTTTTAGAGTTTAGGATATTATATCATGTTTTATCACTTTATTTTCCTCTTTATCTCTAAAACAATAATTTAAGCTAAAATTAAAAATATCAGATAATTTCTTAGAAAGAAAGAAAGAGGGAGAGAGAAAAGGAGGAAAGGAAGGAAGGAAGGAAGGAAGGAAGGAAGGAAGGAAGGAAGGGAGGGGAAGGAAGAAAAAATTCCTCTGGCTCAAGTATTATCTCTCCCCTCCTCAAAAAGGATTACAACTTCTCTAATAACTACTCTTTCTTTTTCTGATGTTACCTTTTAATATGATACCTTTCTTTTTCTGATGTTACCTTTTAATATGTTACCTTTCATTTAATTTTAATGTAATTTCATATGTGGCAAAATTACACTGATATCACAAACTAACAAAGACTACCATGTTCCTTTTGAAATGATATGTGTTCATGAAAACTAGCTGGTTATGGGAACTAGATGTGTGTGCTAACAATAAACTTAGTTTTTAAAAATCATATTAAGACACCTCATATTAAAGAGAGGTAGAGTAAAAATGTACAATGTATTGGTGCTAATGAGATAAAATGATAGATGAATATTAACATAAAATTATTCAGTGAGTTTCATAAGATAAAAGTGATTTATCAATTGGCCTCCCACTTCGATCAGTAAAATAAATGTGTATACGTGTGTTTCAAAGGAATGAGATTCCTCTCCCAATTTTGGCCATTTGACAATTATTTTTTTCTACTTTGGGACTTCAGTTGCGTTTAAACTTGAAGCCATTTTGAAATACTGAAGATAAAATTTGAAGATGAGAAAGTCTGACTGGCTACTGATGACTGGGATGTGGTGATGACATTTAAAGTGGCGTCATTCTATTCTACAGGAATGCGTGTGCATATCTTTAATGTCAGCACTCGCCTCTGGGATGACACTTGTTAGATTTCATGCTGTCATGTGCTATTTCAAGGTCGGTAGTAGTGATGTTTATTATACAGTACCCTAATACTACACTCATTATTTAAAAAGAAGTTGTCAAAGCCCCATATCTATTGTTCTGCTCGCTTCTGTGTATACTGTGATCATCTGATTCTGTTTCAGTTTTAAAATACAGAATGCTGAAATGTGCCGCAATGAAATAGTACACTTATTTAACCTTGAAACCATTCTTGTGAAAAAATAATGTTTGCTTGTGTCTGATGGTTCCCAGGCTTCCGGGAGTGACTTGATTCAGAGAATGGCTAATAATAGAAACAACCCCAGAGGGAATGTGGGGTGGTAAGGTGCATCCAGCGCCTCTCTACCCAAAGGAAAAGCAGCTGAGTCCCAAAGAAATATCTCTGACCAACTACTGCTTTTTTAAAAAAACTCCCAGCGACTCCAGCTTTGTCTATAGTTACAGAAATATTAGATGGGGCTGAATAATTTATTCAGTCCAGGAAGTGGCCAAGAGGGGTAAAGAGAGCTCGCTGGGTGTACTTCCTTTACACAAGGAACATACCTTTATACAACACACCTGTATCAAGATGGATCAGAAGTTATGGGGTCAACATGCATAGACTAGAAAAATTTATATCAGTATAATCCAAGAGCAGTACAATAAATTCTACAAACATTAAATAAAGGTCTATGACAAAGGAAATGTAAAATATCCAGAAAGGGTTATGTGTTTACATTCAGTTTCCAACCTGTATGTCCACCTCCTCCCCCAACACATATGCCCTTCATCATCATAATCACATTGATCACCTCCAGGGCAGTCAACCCCTCTATACTTTATCTTTCCCCTAAATTTTACATGTCCTGATCTTTCCATAGCACTTTGGATCTTCATTTGTTTTTTGTTTTGTTTTGTTTTTTGTTTTCAAATTTAGAAAAGGCTTAGTTACCTTTTTTTTTAAGTCAGATAATTTTTAATTGAAATAATTTTATCAAGATGCTTTGGGACTATTATTCAAGTATTCAAGTGAGTATGCATTTTTTATCAGTTTTTAATGGATCAGGTGTCTCACTTGGGAGCCCACCACCAACTATTGCTCACTCTGTCACCCCCTTCTCCTCATGACTCCCTGAGCCATTTCACTGGTTGAAAGCATTGGCTTAGCTGTACCTGTGCAGAGAACATTTTGGGGATATAAGTACTTTCTTCACGTGCAGGGGTTTTTTTGGAGTTAGTTTCCAAATATCCAAAATAGAGACATTCACCTGGTCCTATGGTGTGTTAAAACAAAGTCTTGTCTGATTTGAAATACTACTGAGGATGAAGACTTGCTAGGAATCTTAAAATGTATATTTTGGAGGTATAAGTGCAGATAGCATTGTTAAACTAAACCCTGTCTTTTAATGTGTATTATATATAAAACATTTACTTCTATGTCAAGGGTAGGAATGCTGACAGAGAGAAGAGAGGGACTTCGCTTTACAGGAAAGTACGTAGCCAGCTGCCTAGAAAAGATGACTGTCTATATTGTGGATTTAATTGACTATAGCGTATTGCCCTCAAAAGATAGGGCCAAAGGACTTGATTTATTAAAAAGGAGAACTAAGCAGGAAAAAAGGGGATGCAGCTCTGTCCATCAAAGTGGCATTCTTTATGTAGAATCAACCCAATCCAATTTATCACTGGTTTTTCAGTTAACTATAGCAAGTCTTAACTTCACGTTTTGGCTCACACTGTCTTTTGATGTTATGTGTTGTTGGAAAACTTGTAACTGATGCATGAATGTCCTCTCTGTTCAGACTGTTTCTAATATAATTTCCTTGTCCAGTGTTCTTTCAATAAGGGTACCTAGTCCTTTGAGAATACTTGTCAGAATGATGCAAATGAAGGTGTGGATTATTTATTTATCTATTTATAAAAAGATATTATACTGCAACCCTACCTACCCACCATTGCTATGACAAAGAGGACAGTGTGGTTATTATTTTTTCTGGCAAAATGGAGCCAGAACATGGAGTTTAAATAAGTCGTGGGAAGTGGTAGGTAGTCTAACCGATATAGTCCTCCACTGAGATTTCTTCTTTGTGAGACTTTTTAAGGGTTTTGAGCTGATCTAAGAATCTGATCTAAGAATCTCCCTGCCCACTCCCATCCCACCCCAAGCCACCAAGTCTTCTTTTCTTCCAGTGAACATTAATAAACACAGAATTCTTTAAAATGATTTTCTATCTCAGTTAGTATGTCTCTAGTAAGAACAACAACAACAAAATTGTGTTAAGAAAATGTAAACTTGGAAAAATGTATATTACTGTTCAAATCTCAGAAGTCATGGATAAAAGAATAGTATTGGCCCCGTTAAGCAGTCAAAACACACTGGAGCCTCCTGACAATGGACTAGGGCATGAAAGACCCACGTATTTAAGGAATGCCACTCCATTCAATTTCTCAGGCTACCTCTGTAGGAAGTGAGGAGAAAGAAAGGATCAGGAAATTGCCCAACTTCTGTGTACTTCATCTGGACTTAGTGCATTTGCTTTTGAACTCTCGAACTTCAATCTTAGTCTCCAGGGTGCCTACTTCCCTTGTTATATGTGAACTTTTCCTTGTAGACACCTGTCGGGGATCATGTTAATAAGATATATTGTAGAAAGAGAAAACACATTTCCTGAGCCAAGAGAGTTACTCTTTTCTGGGGCCCTTGTTAATCTTTGGGAGCCCAGCATCTTCTGTGGCAGAACAAAAGCAATATGGGTATAGATTCTTTTTTTTTTTTCCCTATTCCCCAAGAAAATGTTGTCAACGTGTTAGTGTTCAGCTACATTTCTCTTAAGAGAAACGATAGAATATTTCTTCCTTCGGTCCCGAGGTTTCAGAAGTTGATTCCCATTGCTCTCTAGCATCATTCTAAATAGAGCCCTACTGTTTGGCCACTGCCAGAATTAGCTTGAATGGTACCTATTATTGAAAGGAAGTCTGTATTTGCAGTAATACAGAGAATGCCAGTTTAGAAATGAGCCTGATTGCATGGTTCATTTTGTTCTCCTTTGTAGAGCCAGGCTGCGGCCCACTACAAAGGCACGAAACATGCCAAGAAGCTCAAAGCACTGGAAGCCATGAAAAATAAGCAGAAATCTGTAACTGCCAAGGACAGCGCAAAGACTACCTTCACCTCCATCACTACCAATACCATCAATACCAGCTCTGACAAAACAGGTTAAGCGATGATCTTTGTTGTTGTTGTCATCATCGTTGTTTGGGGGTCCCTTCCCTTGTCCAGCCCCATGTCTGTTTCCTTATGTTCCTGCGCATTGATTCATGCTCGATCCATCTCTCTGCGTAATGGTAATTGTTTCTCCTCATTTTTCCAATCCCCTTAAGCAACTGTTTAAGATAATCACTAGTTATATTGCAGATTTTACATTTGAAATGGTCCTGTGGCTGTTTTAGAGGAACACGAAAGCATAAAGGCACTTGAAGCCATGTTTTTGAGAAGTAAATCTTTTCAGTGGGTATCGTTTGTCTTGTATGCAGCACCTTAGCCTATAACCACATGGCAGATTTGACTGTGAGTACACGGCCGCGGATGCCAAATGAATCGAGAAGGCCCCGATAAGGGCATTATTACTGACAGGACTTATTCTCATAAATCCCAAACCCTGCGTTGTTTTAAGTAGTGGCTGTGTGATTATGGGCTTGTTACGGCTGCGTAACCTTCCCTCTGCATACACAGGTAAGTGTTATCGATACCAATTATTCTTTTAAACAGAGTCTTCACAGTGAAATAATGGCCTCTGAATGGCCTCTTGGGATAGCTCCTGCAAGCAAACAGTTTATTCATGGCAGGGGAAACCAGTGGGGTTTCCCGAAGCTGGCATTTTTAAATATAAGACCACTGGTCCTCAATATTTACATAAAAAGAGGTCCTGTGTGATTCATAGATGTATCTTTAATAAATCAATTTCTAGAACACCATGGCTGGTACATGTCGGTTGTTTTCTAATCCCTACAAATGACAATGGTCAGGAAGTATTTATATCATCATCAATAGTAATATCTTAAGTAGAAGAGAATCTTCCAGCCATAACTGATGAAAATGTAAAATGCTACAGTGAACAAATAGAACAGATTAAAGCAACATTATTACACATGGTGGCATCGATTAGACACATATATGTTCCTCAGATGTTCTGGAGAGATGCTTGCTTCTATGTGAATCTGTAAGGAATAATGATATTCGCTCTGAGTTCCCGTGACACATGTCATGTCCTTTACCGAAGTATATTATTGGTAGATGCATTATGCCCCACACTCCCTGAGATCCCCATGTCCCCTCTGAGGCTGAGTGCAACTGTCATCTTTGTACCCTGGTCTAGTATGGTGTAGGTACTGAGTAAAATATCTATTAAATCGCTGTATTTTCTTTCACTTCTTTGGCTCTCTGATTCATCCAATTTTGTGTCACAACATACTACAGGGAAAAAAAAGTGCTTGTCGTGTTCAATTCTTTAGTATCCAGAGCAAGAACTGGATTATGCCATCTTATTAATTCAGATGTAAAACCTTATCAAGAAAGCATTAATTTTTTTCTCTATTAACTGAAAATTCACTGCCTTATTTTGGTGGCTGTAGGGGAATGAGCAGTAATGAAGCAGGTGAGTGTAATTTCTGCTCCTAGTTATCAGGGTACAAATTGGGATCCCTAAAGCCATATTTTCCATAAAGATTTTTTTTTTTTTTGCAAAAAGATAGTAGGTAGGAAGAACAAAGAAATTAGTTTGATATAAAGAGATGGGGTTTGATGTAAAGTTTTTGCTTGTCCCCAGTCTTCTCTGTTCTTAGATATTCTTATCAATAGCTATTTGGGTTACCTCGAATCCTCTTAAAATGCAAAAAAAAAAAAAAAAAAAAAAAAAAACAAACCCTGTTAAATTGAGGATTCTCATCATTTAAAAATATATTTGTACATGATGGGTAAAACTGCTAACTTCGGTTAGGAAAGGCTCCCATGTGTGTTGTCTCTGGGTTATTTTTATTAAGAATGATTTTGTAAAATTAGGGAAGTGTGATTTAATGCATCTGTATCATTTATGTATGGATAGTCCAGGAATCACAAAACAACCTTGCATATTAAGCAGTAGGGTTAAATTTTTTATCGTTAAAAAATACATGATCTTTGATTCTAGAGTCTTATCTCTCTCTCCTTCTGCCTCCAGGTACTTAACTATCCTAGGAAACTAGAATAATAAATGAGTTATGAATACATACCTCCATGCCTCAGTCAGAAATTCGTTTGGAAAGGATGGCAGTCATGAAGGTTCTGTCCTTTCAGAAGTTAAATGGAAATAGGTTTTGGATTGGGGTGTGGCGAGAACCTACGTAAAATAAACAGATTCTTAGCAGAGAGGCCAGCACTTATCTAATGGTTGGAATGGTGTTGAAATGGTGACATACCCTTTCAAGATGAAGCTAAGAAAATTCCAGAAGGACAGAAAGGATAGCAAAGTCTGTAAACTTAGTATAAATATCCTAAAGCCAAAGGAAGAACGTTATGAGCATCAGAAGTACATTGCCTTCCTAATCCATGGGAAACTATACCCAGGAAAAAAAGTCATATAGGTTGAAAGACTAACAATTTCAACACACTCGCTAGAAGTTTTTAAGCTGAATTCTGTCCTTAAATTGGGATTTCCACAAAACTACCCATGAGAAGTAGCCCAGGAAACCTCCTGTCATTTTATAGCCTTCTTACCCGTTTGTATTGCAATATAAATCAGATGCACCTATGCTGACAAATTGGAATTTTCTTAAAACTATTACTTGTCCTTTTTATTACTGTCTGCTTCTTCATATTGATTAGGAAGAAGTACAACCCTGAAAACAAGATGGGTCTTTGAGCTAGTTTCCTAGAATAGTTAAATACTTGGAGGCAGAAGGAGAGAGAGATAAGACTCTAGAACCAAAGATCATGTATGTTTTAACAAAAAAATTTTAACTCTACTGCTTAATACACAAGGTTGTTTTGTGATTCCTGGACTTATCCATACATAAAAGATATAGATGCATTAAATCACATTTTACTAGTTTTATAAAATCATTCTTAATGAAAATAATCCAGCTATATAAAAAAGCTAACTGCTATTAAGAAGGCTAAGTATACAATGATTTGATAGATGAGCACCTTAAAGAAGAGTGGACGACAGTAGCGAAAAGGACAAGAAGTGGTGTGGACTTGAATTAGAACATTGATTTGGAGGCTTTCCTGGGATTCTCTAAAATACAGGAAGTAGAATAGTCATAATGAGCAAAGTTTCACTGCATATCTACTTGATAAAAATAATTTTGACTGACCATTTCTCTTAAATTCCTAAATCATATATTATGGGTTTTAATTGCTGCCTTAAGATAACAAATATGTCTACATGATCTGCAGGGTAAGCTCTTATTCATGAACTATAATTTTGGGATTTTTTTTTTTTTTTGTCATTGCTTATGTCATTCTGCCTGCTGGCATGGTGAGCAAAAGATAATATTCAGTGATCAACCACCAACTGCTCACAGAAAGCCTAGTTCCCCTACCTCTAGGCAGGATGAGACTCCCTAACATTAAAGCATAATTTTATTTCTCATGGTCTAATGAAGAGTGCTAGGTTAGTGAATTTACACAAAGAAAAATTTCCAGACAAAAATAATATTTTTAAAAATAAGCACTCAGAATTGTTGGTACGTAAGAATGGTTGCTAATCATTAGAGAATAATTCAAAGAGCAAACATTTCCAAATATGGCCAGAATGATTTTGTCTCATCTAGCAAGGTTTTTTTTTTTTAAATGTGAGGTTTTTTGACCCAGAAGAAGTAATGAGAAAAATTAAGAAGGATTCCCGAAGTAACTTAGCAAATGTAGCTCATTCTTCCTCCTGTGAAATGACAAATTCACAATCATAGAATTAAGTCCCAGGCTTGGTCATCTTATGATCTTTCTTTAGTTTTCCTTTTTGGGTAATCCTATTCATTCCCATGGTCTATCAGTTAAGTTAGGCTAGTTTATACTGCAGTCATAAACAACCTCCAAATCCTAGTGGCTTTTACAACAACTAATTATTTCTCCCTCACACTACATATTAGCTGTGGTTTTCTTCCAGGTTAATTTAACTGCAGGCTAGGCTAATGAAGGAGTCACTAGCTGGACATTACCAATTCTATAGCAGGGGGAGAAAAAAGATTGTGAATCAATAGGCTCTCAAAGCTTCTTAATGGAAGGGACATCTAATATTCTTCTCACTTTACTTTGTCAAGTTCCATGGTCAAGCTTGATTATCATGGGCAGGGAAGAATAATCTCCTCCAGGGAGGGGAAGCAGAAATTGGTGAACAGTAACACAGCATTCCTCCATGGCTTTAACCATCACTTGTGCCTAGATGTCTCAGCATTCCTCATTTCTAGCCTAAAACCTGACCTGACATTCCATGACTTATTCGTCACTAACTTCGGTGGCTTGTCAGCACTTCTGTTTTACAGGTAAAAAAAAACAAAAAAAAAGAAAGAAAGAAAGAGAAAGAAAGAAAAAGAAAGAAAGAAAGAAAGAAAGAAAGAAAGAAAGAAAGAAAGAAAGAAAGAAAGAAAGAAAGAAAGAGAAAGAAAGAAAGAAAAAAGCCTAACCTTCTCTACCATCCCCAACTTTGTCTCCATCCTGTCTTTCCTAGTTTCAGTTTTGATCCTGAACTTCACAGAGTTGAAACTTTCTAGGTGTCTCTGCCTCTTCTATCTCAGTCCATATGTCTATTCAGGTGCTAGAATCCACTCCCCTCCCATCCTTTACTCGTTCCCTTTTGGTTACTACCCTCATCCTGGCCTCGTACAAGTCTGTGCCTTGCTCATACAATTGCCCTAGCCTCCGGGCAAGTCCAGCTGTCTCCATTCTTGTCCCTTGACAACCATGTTCTTCATTCTCCTGTCTGTTTATACTCTACAGGGCAGATCATAGCACCTACTCATTCAGAAACCTTCAGTTTATCTTCATGCTGAGCCTCATGGTCCTCTGTGGTTTGACCACAACCTACCTTCCCAAACTTCTCTTCTGCTGCTCACTTGCAATATTCTCCACTAGAAACACACCTTATTTTTCTGTCTCACCTTCATTTTCTGTCTTACTGTTCTTCTAAATTTCTCTCTTAAAAGTATATCACTTTTCTCTTCTCTCTGCATCTCAAATCCCA